TCTTTTGTTGTAGTAATTTAACTGAATAAGGTGTTTCTCATTGTTTCGAGAACTGAGAGGTTCTTTCAGCGATATCAATGATATCGTAAATCCGGTTTTCCTTTTCTACAAATGGAAATAAGACTTCAGCATGAAACAATAGCTTACCTACTCTAAACCAAACTTTTTATATGCCGTGGAGTCAGAAAACCATAATGCCAAAAAAGGTAACTAAGCCTCTAGCATTCACACCTATATTTTGGGATTTTATATTTCAGCATTTAAGAAGTCCATATGCTTGGTCTTAAATTAGGAAAACTGCCATGAGAAGAACAGCAGTCTCGCCATCATAAAGAAAGAAAAATCAACACATCATCTCGCTCACTCATCCTTTACAAAGATGGAACAGTATATAGGATGAACACAATAGTTATCCCTAGAAATTACCTTTACATCTCAATACAGAGCAATCGGGAATATTTTTCACAAGAGTTAGTACAATTTACTGCCTGCCCCACAAAGCTATAATTATCAATCACTGAATGCTTTCTTCCTCATTTTTCCCCACATGCTTTTACAATGCTTCTATATATGCATTCTGAACCCTAGAAATTACATAACTTGTTGGTTTATCCATAGTCCCCTGAGACTTCTGAACTTTGGGTCAAATCCCATTTAATTGATCAACAGATGGCTATCAGTTCTCTTATGAGTTTGCTGGGAGTCAATGGCTAAATCAAGGAGTGACCAGGCCCATTGCAGAATTTTCCTGCGTTATAAAACATAGCAACTACCAGGAAGAGAAGAAGGTTCCCTATTTAATTTAATTGTTGTTCTTGGATTTCATACATTCTGTCTCACAGGAAGAGGAATTAGAGCAATTGTTATCACTAAGCGCTAAGCATAGTATCTAATTTACAGTATATGTTCACTAAACAGCTAAACAAACTAATGAATGATGAATAGAATGCATCTCTCTAGCAGTCACACAAATTCTCCCTTTCTGATCAAAGTGACTTTTCCAAGCCATTGTTGTGGCAGTGGTGGTGGCAGTGACTGTTCTCCAATAGCTCTCACTCCTTTTCAGGAACTTTCCTTGTTATCTGTTGAATTCCTGGCAAAGTTTTACTCAGTGATCAGCTCAATAATACCCTTTTACTAACCCAATACTAACCCTTTTACATAGTTGCAAAACTCTTAGGCAACATCAGATACTGTTCTCTAGAGGGTCTCTACTAGAACAAATTGTTTTGAAAAAAAAATTGCCA